AACTTGGTTCAGGTCATTTGGAATCGCAGAAACTGCATCAGATCACCTCAAAGAGGAGAGGAATGATGTCCGTAGGACCTGATCGGCTTTGATCAAGTCAATTGGGACCAAGTGGATCAAACCAACTTGCTTCGGATATGCTTTGACCGTAGCAACGCGGAGTGGATCAACTCAAATCTGTGAAGAGTAATACGCATCGTATCGGAGTTGAATTGCTTGAGTGGGATCAATTCGATTCTGATCGGATCAACTAAGATTTGATCAGATCCGGACTTGTGTGCACCAATCCAATCAAATTCACTTTAGGCGAATTGGCCTTCTATTCATGCTACCGATGGCAGAGAGAACGGATCCGTTGCTCAAATCAACCGACGCCTTGGCAACTGTCTTATGCCAGCCGAAGTGATCCGAACAGAGTCAGCCAACGAGGTGCTGGCCGGAACTTTGGTCAACAGAATTCGTCCAGATTGATCATTTTTGCCAGTTTCAAAGGTCCATTTAACTAATCCTCATTGCTCCTGTTACCGACGAAAGTAGAAGAAGACAACAACACGGCACATCTTCACATCTTCACATCGCGACATCACAGACTCACAAAATTATGACCTCGCGAGTAAACAACTTGACAAAATTACAACGAAAGCCGACATCATTTCTTTACTACACCTCAACATGTAGACATTCTGCACAACAGCATTTCGAAACCAGTGCATGACAACATGACAGCATGACAATTTAAAGACGTAACGCCAAATCATTAAAGCAACTCTCTACATCAGCAAAGCATGTTAACAATAGAGCATCACAAAACCACAATAAAGCAGCCTCACAACACCACAATTGGGCGACATGGCAAAATAGCTGCCTCAAACATCTCAATTTCTCAACTTAACATCACAACATCAAAGCTTAACATTATTACAAAACCATAGCATCACGGCGTCATCACATCACTTTTCAACATCCCAACCTGACAACATTACAAAATCACAGTATTATAGAACCGTCACATCACTACAGCAACAGCAACAGCAACAGCAACAGCAACAGCAACAGCAACAACAAGGCTACAATCGAAAGAATATAGCATCACTTCTTCACATCTTTGAAGCATATAAACACACTTCAGCTTCATAGCATCACATCACAACAGCACAATTCTTCCGCAAAAAGCACAAAAGAGGCAGACATTCTGGTTTCAGTCCAAGCAAGTCATGTGGCCTCTGTACATATCGGCTTGCAAAAGCAGAATTGTACCGAATGTGAGTTAGCATGTTTTTGTTTCGTGAGGCTTGGACACGCTTTTGCTCGTCAGTCTTGTGATATTCTACACTTTTTGCCCCAAAGTGCAAGCGTAAGAGAAGTTGTTCGCACCACTTTCTTCTTCGACTGCCTCGTCTCGGAGGCGAGTTGATCTCGAAAATGGACGGTCAACATTGTTTTGCTTTGCTCTACTCAGCCACGGAATGGGTGAACTTGCTGGCTGTACTTTCTTTGCGTCGGTTCTACTTCGGCGTCCTTTCCTCGTAGCCAAGATCCAATGACCACGGATCGGGTTTGAAAATTGGTACATGCATTCGGCCAACTCGCTTGTCCAGACTTGCCGAAAAGATCCGCATGCGTTTGTGAGGCCGAACCAATTCGTCCTTAGTCCCGAGGCAGCACCACATCAAAACAACAAAAAAGCATAAAGTCAAATTAAAACGGCACAATACGAAGACACCACAACAGCACAGCATAGCATTACCAGATAGCAACAGAAAAGTACCATATAAATGATAAAATCACAGCTTCACAACACCATAGAAAAATCACAATGTAAAATATTGCGACTCACATCATAGAAGGATACAAATTAAGTCATACAAACAGCTCAGCTTTACAGAGTTACATTGCACAACCGTAAAACATGACAATGAAGCCAGGACATTGCAGAATCACAGCGTCACAAGGCAATAGAAGCAAATAGCATAAACATCACAACTTCAAGTTATAATGGCAACATAGCATTGAGACATCGAGAAAGCAAAATCACAGAATCGCAGCTAAAATAACACAAAATTACATTCCACATTTTAGGCATGATAGCATAAAAGCATTGGTCCGTCACAAAACAAAAGTACCGAAATTAACGACACAAAATGACAACACGACCATATCAGAGGAGGACAGCACTACAAAGTCGCATAGTCACAACAAAGCAGCACAGCACGACAATATCTCTGCCGCGTCACCACACAACCTCAGAAGATTACAGCGTCACATAAAACGAACATCGAAGCAATACAGCACCACAGCGTCGAAAGATAATAAAACCGCAAAGTCAAAAAAACACGACATAAAGTCATCCCATCCAACAAAGGACAACATTGCGTCACCAAAAGATGGTCCAATCTCAACACCATCGCAATATCACATCACTCCATCATAACATACCGAAAGCACACTATCACGACCTCACAACAGCACAGCAGCACAACACCACAGCGTCAGTGCATTACAATACAAACTCATCTTATATTTGCAACATAATGGCATCACATCATTACAACATGCAAACATTCCAACATGTTTGCTTCACATCAAGCAATCGCAAAATCACACCATCAAAACATTACATTCTTGCAACATGATCAGCACATCACGTCGCTATCTCACAGGTTCACACAGCACTACATGATCATAAAATAGCAAGCAAAGACTGAACCAAAAGGAAACAATTATGCTTTCACGCCATTCCATTGAAAATTGACAACATTTCACCATCCTTACGTCACAATATGGCATCAGCATAAATTGACAAACTTACAAAATTGAAGCTTTGCAAAAGTTGAATGACAGCAGCACAACAACACAAAACAATATAGCCGCATAGTATCACAACATCGCATACGCATAACTTCAATACAGCATCGTAATGTAGCGAAAGCACAAGTTCACGTCAAGAAATCACAAATCAGAAGTAGCACCATCGAAACATGAAAATATCATGGCATTACCGCATCCCTGCATCCCGACTATACACAAAAATCAACTTACGAGCTCACACCCTCATCACGCCGAATCACACGATACAAACCAATGCAATATCGCAATATCACATGAGGCAAAAGTCAACGCATCAAAACACAACAGCAGCGCAGACTAAAATCATTATGACATGATTACAAAATCACAAAAACACAACAGTAAACTTAGCATGATGACAAAAGCACAAAATTAGCATTTCAAACCATCGAAATATCGCAACAACATTACTCCAAAGTAGCATAGCATTACAGAATCACAGCTTCATTGAATAGGACAGCAACCAATATCCCAGGAGCATCATTTTATAAATGCACAAAATCACAGCATCCAAACATCATAGCTTCAGCACATCAATTCCTCATATCGTTACATCGTTGCCAACCGCCATCTTTGCAACATCACATCGTAACAACACTACAGCATGACCACGTCTCAACCCGACAGCAAGCACAGCTTCACAACATCAACACCTCAAAAGTGCACCATTTCACGACATCCCTACATCACAACGTTACACAATCACAAAATCACACTCCAGCACAATATTATCACCTCAAGACAACCCTTCCACATAAGACCTCATCATCCTCATCAGCCTAGTCATTATCAAAATGATAACCTCGAAACAACAGGTCTCCGATGCTCATCCGTTTTCTTTTGGCTCGTCTCTTTTCTTCGCATTCTCGTCTTTCAGCTCATTTGCAGCTACTGCTGAGACTGACGATGCAAAAGAATATGGCCACCCAAACCACGCCAAGTTTGTCTGAATAGTCGAGCACGGATCCTTCCAAATTTCTGGTTTCAGCCAGAACCATTCGCTTCCGTTGGTTGTGACAGGCTTAATCTGAGCTTGTGTTAGTGTCTTGTCGGATTCATGCGGCTGGAACATGCAGTTGCTCGTCTGGCTGGCGTCAAAAAACCATTTTCCGGCGTACTGCATGTTCTTCGTCAAAAGTGGTTTGTCGCCCATCCCGACCTCGTTTGCCTACCGCCACTCCCAACTTTGCTTTCCCATTTCAGCCCCTTTTCACTCGAAATTTTTGATGGGACTACGAGACTGGGGCGCGAATGCCTTCAAGCGGCTGAAATGTTTAGCCGGATAGATAGACGGATAGATGGATAGAAAGGGAAAAAGAAAGAAAGCTACATAGAGAGAAAAAGAGAAAGAGAGAGAGACTAGGCCAGAAAGAGAGAAATAAAGATATATCGTTAAAGTTGGAGAGATAGATACGTATGTAGAGAGACTGGTGAAAATAAGGAATAAAGACGAATAGATAGATGTAGAAGTGGGTTGAAATATTGATAGAAAGATAGAGAGATAAAGTTATGATATACATACAGACATATATATATATATAATTATAGCATTTATTTTCCTATATCTGAAATTTTATTCCGGCTAGATAAACGGAGGGATGGATAGAAAGTTAAAAAGAAAAAAAGCTAGATAGATGATAAAGTGAGAGAGAGAGACTAGGCCAGAAGGATAGGGAAAAGATATATCGGAAAAGTAAGAGAGATAGATAAGTATGTAACTTAAC